CCTATGAAGCTCTGGCTTCTCCCTCCATCTTCCTCCCCTTTCCCTTCCAGCCTCTCTTTTCCAGGAACCTTGCCATGCCCACACTTACACTCTCCCCTTCCCGGCCCTCTCGCAGCTGCTACGGTGCACCCATGCTCTGCACTTGCCTCACCAGCTCTGGCTTTTCTCTAACCTGTTTTCTCTCTGCGTTCTCTCCAATGCCAGCTGATTGGGTCAGGCAAGTCCATCCCGTCCTTAGAGCCCCAGGTCCCACTTTGACCTCTGAAGTGATGAACAGATCCTCCTCTTCTCAGAGACCTCCTCTCCAAGGCTGCCTGGGTGGGTGCCCTGTGACTTGACAGTGGCTCCTGCAGCCCCAGAGCCAGCCCCCTTCATCTGTGACTTAGTCTGTTGTAGTGGTGAGCTGCCACATCCAGCTGTGATCGTTGCTGAAAACTTGTGCCCCCTCTGTGGTATGCCCCTGCCCTGTTCTATAAATAGCTATAAATACTCATACACACACACACACACACACACACACGTGGACGACTGCCTGGCCTCTAGCACTGGGAATCAGTCCTCGTGCTGTCCTTGCGGAGACTTGTGGCCCAACAAGAGGAAGCTGTCTCCTGACATTGCCCCTCGAAAGGGCACCACCTCCAGGGAGCCTCCCTGTCATGCCCGGCCTGTGGACAGCCAGTCCCCGCCATCCTTCCCGCCCTTCTGGGCAAGCATGGGGGTGCTGTGCGGGCAGCTCTGTGGACTGACAGTCTTCCAGTCCTACTGTCCCTCGGCTGAGACTCCAACTCATTTCTGGATGACAGAGAATGTGTCCTCTGCTGGCTGTGTTTTCTGTGGAGCTCAGGGGAGGGAAAAGTCCAAGCCATTTTTATGCTTTTGGGAGTGGTGAAAAGGTCACACCCTTTGCAAGGGGCTCTTTTCCTGGAAAGTCCCTGGAGCTTAGCTGGCTCTTATCCTGTGACGCCGGCTCTGGCCACTAGGGGGCAGGGCCGTGAACTCAGCCTGGAGGGAGCCTGCGGGGCAGCAGGCACTCTGGACAGACAGCCCACCTGGTGCAGACAGGAGAAGGAGGCAGGAGGACGGAATGGAAGACACCTGGGGTGGGTGAAAGTCAGTGCTGGTATCTGTCTTCCTGGTCACAGCTAGATCAGTCTTCTGAACCTGTTGGCCGTCAGGGCTGCACTGTGCCCATTAGGCGCCATGGCAGTCCCGTGAAATCTACCAGGTGTCACCAGGCAGCATCCAGGCAACAGGCCTGGAAGATCCCCAGCAGCCCAACTGGACATGCTCAGACGCTCTGGGGCTCCTCTTTCAATGGGACAAACTGCAGGACCCACTGAGGGAAACGGGAACATACCAGGCTGAGCAGTATGGCTAAATCCATTTATTCCCAAATAAAAAACAAGAAAACGGGAGTCCCGTCACTAGGGAGTCATGACTCCATCCCCGCCTCCTTCCTCGCTCCTATGCTAGCAATAAATAAGTTTCCCAGCTGCAAATAACTATCAGAACCTCTTCTTCATATGCCAGCTGCAACCTCCGCTAGGTACGATACATACAGAATGTTACACAGATACAGTATGTACATGGGGGAAGGGCGGGTCACCCCTAGCAGCCCGTGCCCTCGCCTGGTCTACAGTTAGCTCCACTGTCCCGCCTCAGATGCCTCTCTGAGTAAGAAGATGGGAGCACCCCATGAGAAAAGTTGCCTCGGTGAGAGTAAGGAGACCATCGCACCTCCTCCAAACAAACCAACTCCATCAACCTCTGGCTCTTAAATAACAAACATCATCATCCAGAAATGTAAGGACTCAGCCTTGGTCAAGGTGGTAAAGGGTCTGTTTTTCTCCCTCCATTAGACAGGGGTCTTGTGTTGCTACCTAATGGTAAAGGGGTGACTGGGAAGGGGTTGTAGGGACATAGTGTGGGCGAAGACTGCAGACTCACTTCCCCAGGCTTATGCTGACAGGGGCCTGCTTTTATTTATTTTTATTCCATGATTTTTTTTAAATCCAGTAACTTCTTTTTCATAACTTTTTAAAAAAACTTTGCATAAAACTTTTTTTTTACTTTTTTTCACAACTTTTTTGCCACAACTTTTCCACCGTATTTTTTATCCCATAACTTTTTCATTCCACAACTTTTAATTCCTGTAACCTTTTTAGTTTATGTTCTTTTAATAAACACACTTACATAGTTACAATTTTGTGAGAATAAAAACTGATTATCTCATGCCAATGTTCCCAGCATTTGCACAGTCTCAATACCTTTAATACTAGAATTTTCAAGACACACAAAATTTTAAGGCAAAAACAGCACCTTGCAAGAATTTCATAATTTATTACATTATAGTAGCATCACAGAAGCAGTCAAGAATGCCACGTTGGACAAAAGTCAGTATTTCTATTATACATTCTGTTTACAAGAAATCATAAGTTGGTAAAAGTGAGTCTAAGAAAACTTGGCAAATAAAGCTTTGGACTGGAACTGGCATTTCTTTCTCTACTTTTCCTTCCCCTAGATTCTTTCTTTTAAACTATGGTGTTCATATTTTAAAATGTTTTAACTTATTTCAAGATATTATTATAGCAGTTATGTTTTTGAATAGTTATTTGAAAGTGACTGTAAGATAAAGTTTTAGAGAAGCTATTATGGATGGGATGATTTACATTTTCATGTTTTGTAGAAAGCAGCTTTGGTTTTAGAACTGAGTTTTTTCATTTTGGGAAAACCTATCAGTTTTAATCAAACACTTTAAAAATAATTTTCATATATTGCAGTCTTTCAATAGGCATTTTGATTCTTTACTTCCTACAGAAATTCACATTTATTCAGTTGAACTCACACTTTAACTCTAACCTTCTAATGTCGCCTTCTAAGCAAATTGAAAACTGCCTTATACTGAATGAGGAAGAGAACAAATACTTGGCTGAATGAGGTATTGCAAATGACTGCATGCACTTAGAAGAAAGACTTAAGTTATTGTCACAGGATTTCCATTCTTTTTAGCTTTTTCTTAAACTTATGACAAAATACCTACACAAAGAGTAGTATTTCAGGTAATATAGCACATTTATCTTTCAAACTGACATTCAGCTTAAATATGCCGGTATGTGATTTAATCCATAGGTACCTGATGAACACATTATTGTCAGATAGGTTACAGATGCTAAACGCTATCTGAAGGTCATTCCTAGACATTTATATGTGTCAGGGTAAAAGTGAAGTGATTTGAACTATCAAAATACCTTTGAAATAATTTATCAATGTATTAGAAAAACCCAGTTTCAGAATGATAAAGAAAAGCTGTTAGACCAAATAATTTGGCTAATTAACAGTGGTACAATCCCTTTTTAGGTCATAACCCCTTTTTAGGTTATCAAAAAGGAGTAATATCTTCATAAGTCCAGAGCACATACAAATCCTAAGGGGAGTACCATAGTAACGCACTCATTCTTGGCTCCAAAACAAATGAAACGTATTCTATCCTGCACACATCTGCCAGAGCAGGCCACTTTCCTCTTTTGGGAGATTTAAAAATCTCCCCAAAATGTTATTACGCCCATCCCCAATACACAGACAAAGGGAGAAAGGCTCTCTCCAGTATTCCATCTTTAAACAACTGTAAATGTCACTACTCACAGTGGCACATTATAAACTAATAAACAGCGCACTTGAGGGCAAACCACATATTGAGCTAATGAAGAGCTCACTGTGATTAGGAGTCGATCAAACATACTAGCAGAACATAGGCAAATTTTATCTGAATTCCGTAATGAATATACATGCTGCAATAACATTAAAAAATCATGGCAGCCTATTCCAAACCAGCAAGAACAGTTTTGTGCATATAGTGGGTCTTTGCGTGTTTGAACTCCCAACACATAGGGCAAACTCGATATGCGTGCTAATGACCTACAGTTATCAAATAAAAAGAAAAATGCTAAAGGATGCCATAGTGAACATGAGGGAAAGACCCACTCTTCTGTAATTTTTACAAATAAATTTAAACTAAGTTAGAAAAACAAATAAACATGAGTGGCTCTAACATTCAAATGAAGTAAATGAATTGTGTAGGAGATTAACCCCTAAACTTTTTTTGTTTGTTTGTTTTTAAATTTCTTGACCAGCTCTTAGATGATGATGTTTATCTCCCTGATCTCAGCACGGTGAAAAGAATGGCATGCAGGGGTTGCTGTCCAAGCCTCGGTGCTCCTGGGGAGTCCTGCGTTAGAGGAAGCAGCTGCACGATCTGCTGTACCGTGGGGTTGTCGTGGGGAGAACCCTCCCTGGCCTCTCCTGGTGCAGGCTCCACGCTGTCAGTGAGGCTCAGCCACGAAGATCTTCAGACAGAGGGAGGAGGGGATCTGAGGTCAGTGCGAGCCTCCCCTGCTCCTGCCCGCCCACCCCGCCTGAGCGCTCTACTCATCACCCTGCTTGTCAGCACACCCAAGCTAATGCGGGATTGGGGCTCCTAGAGCGGGCTGATCAGCAGGGCTCTGGGCAGTGGTCAAGAATTTGTCGTGCCCCTCATTGTGGTCGCCCACAAGCCACAACACCTGTCCCTGCAGCTCCAGCAGGTTCACCTGGAGGGAGGGGTGCTTAGCTGCCATGCCGGTGCCAGTGCCCAAATTCACCCTCACCCCTACTCCCACCCCCACAAAGATGTTGCACACCCTACTTGCATCTCCTGGTCCTGGGCCAGCCTGATGATGTCCTCCTCTCCCAGTGACGCATTTTGGCACTGCCCCCTGTCTGGTGTACTGTCCTGTGGGAGGACACAACTCAGATGCTGGGGCCCCTCTGACGGCCCTGCAGCTCCCCCTGCCATACCCTGGCCTCCCGCTCACTTATGGTATCTGTCCCAAGAGGTGGATGAATCGAAGCTCTAGTTTCTCCCCATGCTCCTTCAGGTCCACCTTGTCCTCCATAAAGTTGCTCTGGAGCCAAAATAATGGGGTCACATCTCAAGAACCACCTGCCTTGCCCCACCCACACCGTTCTTGGCCCCCTGCAGGGCTCGGTGGGTCTCCCCACACACAGACTCACCCCCAGTCCCTGGGGTCCTCTGGGATGAAGCCACTGGGTGATCCAGGGGCTGGGAGCACACCCTTTGCTCTTCCTGGGCACTGGCTCCAGCGTCGTTGAAAAATGCCACCTGAAGGCAAGGGATGAGTATTCTTGTAGGGACATACACAGAACAACCGGGGCAGGGAGG